GGTGGGGGGTGTGGTGTGGGAGGCTGATGTGGGGTGTTGGAGTGTGTGGTTTGGGGTGTGGGTGTGTGTGTGGTGTGGGTGTGTGTGACTGAACGCGCAGAGAGCACGTGACCAGGGATGTTGGTGTGAGTGTGAGAAGCAGGTGCCTGTGATACAGGGAAGATGCGGGGCAAGAGGATGGCTGTGTCCCAGGTCGCAGGAGAGTCCCTGGGACGCGCCCTCCAAGTGTGGGTCCTTGGCTTCCAGGGGGAGCCACTGGTGAGTAAAAGTAGATTTATTCAGAGAAGTACGTAGTCCTTAGAGTGCAGCGAGCTCTCTCAGAAGACAGGAGGGAGGCCACCAGGTGTCCGGGTGGGCGTTCAGTTTAAAGTAACAGTAGTTACCCACGCCTTAGACCGAGTGTGGTCCATCTCACTCAGAAGGGAGAGCGGCCACGAGGTGTGGGGGTTGCTAGTTTTTATGGGCTTGGTAACTTTATTTTTTAATTTTACTTTTTTCTTACTTTGTTGAAGGGAAAGTAGTTATGTATATTTATTTATTTTATTTTTTAAATTAAGTTAAAAAATTTTAATGGTGCTTCTGTAGATTGAACCCAGGACCTCCTGCATACTAAGCGTGCGCTATACCCTCCCCCACCCTAAGCTGGGGTAACTTTATATGCTAACAAGTGGCAGGATTATTCCAACTGTTTTGGGGAAGGGATTCCCAAGAATTGACCACCACCCGCTTTTTGGCCTTTTATGGTCAGCATCCGACCTGCTGTGGTGCCTGTGGGAGTATCATTTGGCATGCTAATATATTATAACTAGCATATAATGAAGCTCAAGGTCTCCTGGAAGTCAAATCTCCCGCCATCTTGTGCCTAAAGGTCTACTGGGAGTTGAATCTTCCTCCATCTTGGTAATAATTGCTGTGTTGTTTATTAAATTTTTAAAAGTTTATTTATTTTTTACTTTTTATTTTTAAATATTTTTATTTTTATTCTTTATTGAAGTACAGTCAGTTATAATGTGTCAGTTTCTGGTGTACAGCATAATGTCCCAGTCATGCATGTACATTATATATTCATTTTCATATTCTTTTTCATTAAAGATTATTATATTGACTATAGTTCCCTGTGTTATACAGAAGAAATTTTTTTATCTATTTATAGTTTCTGTGCAGTAAACTGTTGACTGAAATAATTGCACAGCCTAAAAGTTGAGAATTATGTTTTATTTGGTGGACATTTCTGAGGACTCAAACTCCTTTGATCCCAGGATGACAGCCCCCCAGATCACTCTGAGGGACTGCTCCAAAGAGGTGGGGTAGGAGCCAGGATATATAGGAGTTTTACGACAAAGACCAGGTAGTTGGAACATTAAAAGATTACTTGGTAACTCAAGAAAACCAGACATCTCAAGTAAAGAATTTAGCGCTTTTCTGTGTATGGGAGGGGGCAAACATTTGGGCTCATCAAATACATTCCTTTGACAAGCACCCAGCCACCTAGGGCCAGTATCCTGTCTTTCTTATTCTGAGTCCCCTCAGAGGGCACCATTGTGGGTGGCTGCAGAGGCTGGGCTGCAGGCTTGTCTTCAAGGTAGGGGGTGGCAGCAAAGGCTGACGGCTTGACAGCTTCATTTTGCAGGAAAATACTGCAAGCTGTATCAGTAAACAAAGAATGCTGAAGCCATTCTGAGGGGACTCAGAATAAGAAAGGACAGGATACTGGCCCTAGGTAGCTAGGTGCTTATCAAAGGAATGTATTCCATGAGCCCAAATGTTTGCTCCTTCCCATACATAGAAAAGCGCTAAATTCTTTACCTTGAGATGGCCTGGTTTTCTTCAGTTAACAAGTAATCTTTTAATGTTCCAACTACCTGGTCTTTGTTGTAAAGCTCCTGTGTATCCTGGCTCCACCCCTACCTCTTTGGAGCAGTCCCTCAGAATGGTCTGGGGGGCTGTCATCCTGGGCTCGAGTCCTCCCGCCAAATGAAACATAATTCTCAACTTTTAGGCTGTGCATTTATTTCAGTCAACAACACCACACATATTGCAAATGTACAATTTGATGAATTTTGATAGATGTATACACCCATGAAACCACCACAATCAAGATACCTATCATTTCACTCACTCCCCAAGAGGTGCAAATTTCCAACTCCCAGTTTATCCCTTCCCACCCGTTACCCACTGGTAACCATGTTTGTTTTCTACGTCTATGAATCTGCTTCTGTTTTGTAAATAAGTTCATTGAGTCCTTTTTTTTTTTTAGATTCCACATGTAACTGATATCATACGGCATTTTTCTTTCTCTTTATGCCTTACTTCCCTTAGAATGTGCTGTGTCATTTTTTTTAATGGTTGTGCCCTGCCCCTCTCCTTTCCGTCTCACCTCGTGTGAGCGGTCAAGTGTATGAGGGCCAAGGAGAGACCGCGAGGGGGCCGTGTGTGTGAAACAGACCTGACTGAGTATGAGAGGCCAAGAGCATGTTGGGGTGAGTGTGCAGTAAGAGACCAGTGAGTGTGTGTCCAGCATGTGAGGTGGTATGACTTTGTGAGTCCTAGTGTGAGAGAGACAAGTGTGTATTGTGTGTGTGAGAGAGAGCAATTGCAGTGTCTGTGTATCCGTGTGTGTGAGAAATCCACATGTCTCTGAAACAGACCATTGAGAATGTGTGTGTGAGACTGGAGTGTGAGAGACCATCATGTTTGTATGTGGGTGTGAGGGAGAGAAAAGCTAGTGATGTTGTGTGTGAGACCAAAGTGGGTACGAGAGACCGTGAACCGTGGACTGTCACCCTGAGGGCTGCAAATACAGCCTCTGAGCTCGTGCCGTGCGTATGAGTGAGCGGTGAGCGTGTGTGTGAGAGAGTAAGATCGGGGCTGTGTGTGATGTTTGGGTACACCATGTGTGTTTGTACCCGTGGCCTCTCTGAGACCATGTGCATGACTGCATACGATGCACCTTCCTTTGGGTGCCTGTGAGCCTGTCTCGGTGTGACCAGGAGGTATGTGGGGTCTGGTGTCCGTGTCTGTGTGTCACCCGTGTGGCCGTAACGGGCCCTCTGACTGCGGTGTGCGTGGGGAAGCTACTCGGAAAGCTGGTGGCTTTGGCTGCTTTTGTCTGTTGCTTTATGGGGTTGTGTGTTGCCAGGATACTAATCCCGGCGTAGAAGTCCCTAATCCCGGCGTAGAAGTCCCTGCTCCTGGAGTAGAGTCCAAGAGTTTCAGTGGGAAGCAATTGGTGGGGCAACTGGTGCTCCTGACTGGAGCAGAGACACCCTTAGTTCTGGGTGACAAA